TCTCTCTCTCTCTCTATCCCCCTCTCTCTCTATCCCCCTCTCTCTCTTGCGGTTATATATCTTCTGAACTGTGTTATATCCTCGGATATTATTCAAATTTTGCACCTCCTCATTCTCACAGTAGTAGATAGGGTACATTAATTACTCAATTTAACATCTACAGACACAGTTAAATTCTAGTGTTTCTTCTATTAGTGAAGTTTCTAGAAAAATTATATCAAACGACGCAACGCACCTTGGGTCGCTATGGAAACAGCCTCCTTGTATAATTACAAGGGTAAGGTCTGCGTACAACTGACCCCCCAGACCCCAACCTGGTTGGGAATATACTGGGTATGTTGATGTTGATGTTGATGTTGATGATGTTTAACATCTACAGACAGGTAAGGGATCTTCATCAGAGGAATTCATTTCAAGGGCATAGTATCGACTATCGACCCAAACTCCTGATTTTGCTATCACGTGGTTCTCATTTTCTTTTTTTATTTTTTTCAGGAGCAACACAAATCACGATCACGACCAGCCAGCTCACCTTCGTTTGACAGACCCAAAAATTCCTGAACTTGTAAACTTGCCTGTGTATGCTGGACCAGAAACCAGATATTGCCCAGCACGTGTTTATGAGTATGTACGCTTCATGATGAATATTGTCCAATTGTTTTCATCGATTGCTGGTTTTTTCACTTTTAACTCGTTTGTAAATGACAGGTATGTAGTGGATGAAACAGGTCAATCAAAGCTGCAAATCAGTGCTCAAAATTGCTTGCACTGCAAGGTATGCTCAGCTCAAACTTTGCACAGCTCAATGGCACCGCTTTTACACTGGTTCCTACGATAGAAAATCAGCTGCATATACTTACATAGAAAAACAAACAGAAACTTAGTAATAAGGTCACAACGGTAACCAGTGTTCTAATAATTGCTAGGCGCTCTTCCGCTAGCGGGTTTGGGGCTCCTAGGCTGGCTTGTAATTATGTTAATAAATATATATATGTTTATCATCATAAATATTTGAGTATAACACTGTGCATTTTGTACCATACGTTTTTTTTAGACAATGCAACCTATAGTATTTTTCCAGTAAAATGCAACCTGAAATTTAAGAACATTTATAATTTACAACCTCTAACGTCCAATATAATCATTCACATAAGCGCTCTTTTATGGTCATGATGTACGAGAGGTTGTACATTATGATTGTTCATGAAGTTCAAGTTGCTTTTACCAAAACCGGTACTTAGGTTGTCAAGTTAAAAAAATACTTATAGTTAATGTTTTAGATACACTAAGTAATACGGTCAAATATGAAGATTGTCCAAAATATTATTTGTTCATAACTAAATTTTATTAATATTAACATTGTTATTATATTTTAATATTATATTACTGTATATTTCATGAGTATATATCAATACCTATTTTCATTGCATTTTGAAGATAAATTAAAAAATATTAAAATATCTACGGGAAGTTTATACCTCCTAACCAGCCTAGGCGTGACTAACTTCTGAATCGCCAGAATTGTTTATGTGCCACCTGGCACCATAGACGACGCGTAATTGCCCTGGCTAGAGGCTAGTTAGAAGGCCGCCTAGACAAAAATTGGGACGCCCGTCTAAGCCCGATTCTTAGGACACTGATATTAACAATGACGAATTACAAAAACTACCGAGGATTCTTATTCTGGTAACAAGAAAAAGACGAAGACAAGGAAACCACTTGTCTTTTATAACGGTTGGACCAATATGATTTCTCTTTTTTCTATTTTCCTTCCATTTTCCATTGATGAGATTGGTTTTGTGTACTTGTCCAGGCTTGTGATATTAAGGATCCAAAGCAGAACATAAAGTGGACAGTGCCAGAAGGTGGAGGCGGACCGAGCTACACAGTCATGTAAAGAGTTGATCTACATATAATCAACTCTCCATATGCTTTTACATTTTGTCGGTAGTTCTGAACATGGAGCTCTAGCATGCTATGTTGCAGTCTTGCTTTCATTCTCAATAAATGAGTTGTTTGCTGTTGGAAATATGATCCTGTCTTAACCTTAGAAAAAAATAAGGGAACAGACCAAAATGCAACACTGTAAGGAGGATGGTTCGTAAAAAAATTATTAGGTCGGTAGGTTGGTTTTGCCCAAATTCCAGCAATTTTTTTTTTTTTTTCAAACGACAGTTATATTAATAACCGAAAAACACAAAAAGAGTACAAAGATGTCCACTGAAACACAAAGAACCAGAAAATTTGGATCTACTCACTTGGCACATATGAATCTAAGGGGTATGTACAAGCTCCCCCAAGGAGACAACCGCGCACACAAAAAAAAAGAAAAAAAACGAATTCCATAAAGGAGACTCTAACTCCATAACAGAGATTGGAGCAACTGGATTTACTGAAAAAAAAAAAGAAAAAATAAAAACAACTCACACCTATAAACAAGAAGAATAAAACCTTCCCTAATCCAAGCAGCTAAGTTCCACGTCCACCAAACAATAAACTGAGCCAAACACCAAACGTCAACCAAACAACAAAACTAGACAAAACTCGAAAACTGAAGCTACTCAGCTGCCTAGATAAATTTTTGGACTAGATCTGGGCATCGAAGGACATCAAAGTCGTGGGAGGAAAGAGGAGCTGCCAGGAAAACATCGAGAGCCTGAGACAAGGTTTGAAGAGGTCTCGCCCGCGGCAGCCCCTAGCCGAGCGGCCCGGCCCGGCGAAACCGTTGTTGGCTGGAAACATGTCGCAATGGTTGGACGCAGCAGATGAAGGGCCTCCAAGGAGAAGAACATGGCGTGCACGATTGGAGCTCCGGCAAATACTTAAGAGTCAGGT